ACAATAGAAGATGTACATTTTCACTATCTCCGAGATTCTTCTTCAAGCCGACGTTAAACCGTGACATATTACTTTTCTGATTGATTTTTTTCACTTAAGCCAAGTTACAGTCTAAGCGGCTATTATACACGTTTTAGTGGATTCAATAGAGGGAGTGGCTTTTACACTATGTTTCAATATATTATGGACAAACGAAAACCAAATACAACCCAGAAAATGAGCTAGATTTGTTTTGCCCATGAACAATCAATCTATGTCAGCTATACAAAATATCGTGAGGGTAATGTCCATATTGTATTAATGAACTTTTGTGGGTGATTTTGGAAACAAGAGTGAACTATTTTAATGTTATCAATAAGTGATAAAGTAATTTAAGCGATATAGTAGCCACCTATTAACGTCATAGTTTTTTTAATACACTGCTAATTGCATTATTTCAATACTATCAACCATTAGAAAAAGACAAAGCTGTGTGACTGAGGTGTGAACAATAAAAGTACGTACTTCACAACAGTAACAACAAAATCATTTACAGCCAATTATCTGTGAAACACGCGACCTACGGTGGAATTCTTGGGCTATTTGGACATCCGTTTCAAATATGTTTGTGACAACTGTCAGTGGTGAAAGTGATATTTTGTTTTGCGCTGGTGGTAATGTATTACCGGTGACACAACGTGTTTTATTTGCACAAAAAATGATACAGAGGCTTTCATTTCAGGCGTCCAAGTGGTAGGTTAGGTGAGTTACATCGTGGAAGGTAATACTACTTTTCATGGTTACACCTTAGTCAATTAGTCACACATATACAATCGTACACCCAAAACACTGTCAGCGTGTTGGCATATCTCTATGCAATCTCTTGCTTGTTTTTTTAACATTTTTTAAATAAAATATTATTTGAGTGTATAAATGGCTTTCGCCAAAAAACAAACAAACAAGAGACTGTATGCAAGCCTAACCACCACCCCATTTGCCATAGTTATTTATAGGGTTGATAGTGGCACCTAATATGCATCTATAATTCTAGAATTGGTGACGCTTTCTAGCTGGAATCGAAATTATTACTGTCGCATGGCCATATCGTTTCCCATTCCATCTTTTATTTTGACAATAACATTATGTCGGTTTGAGTAATCATTGTCGTTGTCTCTATCGTGACGTTTATCCAGTCGTGTTAGTAAGTGTCACTCTGACGTCAGAATCGATAGTGATAGAAAACACAACACGACTTCGTCTTATAGTCTTATTCAACATGTGACAAGCCACGCGATGTCTGCCTTAAAATCATATCATAGAACAACAAATAATAATGCGCGTTCGGTCGACCTACCACAATTATAGAACGTACGCACAAATACAGATTGTAGACCCATCTGAAAAAACGCTTTACCGCACTGTGCCAATTACTACGTGGGGGCCTAATGAGATGACAAAAGAAGCAATGTTTTCAAATGATTTGTATGCGAAGTATGACCATTCTTTGCTGGGACAATTTAACAGTAAACACCATCTTCATAATGACGGCTAATTAGTATGATTGGTACACGTATTTAACGACCCATTTAACAGGGTGCTCCACCATATTGTCTTTGCTCACACATCATTGCTGTATTGTGAAGTGTATCTGCGAGTCCCCGATTTAAACAATTATTACAATATGGTCGCCCAAGCAGGACCTGTGTATGTTTAAATACTTAACATTATCGTTGTTTGTAAATTATTAGGCGGACTCTCTGTTTAAGCGGCGGGTTTGTAGAACCAACCCATCGAGAGGTCACAAATGAATAGATATTTTGCATGTCAATTAAGCAAGGTGTGAAGTTCAAAATAGCACGTCTTACTCGATATACACAAGTACATCGGCGGCTTTTGAGATTGTAAATATCTACCCACTAGACATATCCCCTTTTTCGTGTTTGGTCTTGACAAATATACTAATGCACTTTTCTCCTCACTCCTTAAGTCGGTGCCCAAGGCGTTCCACTCTGCTCACCCAAACCACTATTAGTCCCATGGTAGTGATGGCAACAATATGCATTTACATTGTAGACCCGTAAAAGCCCAGCCCTTGGACGTAATAAAAGTCTCGAGGCATGCTTCACTAAAGTAAATAGTAATTTTTTTGAGAATAGCGTACTGAAAAAAAAACACCTTAGGTGGTCTCATCGAATGCTTTTATTGATAGTCGTTACCAACTTTTTTTAAAAACATCGGAACACGGGTATTACACATCATTTCAAATTTTATATATCCGAGATGACTATTTTCTAACATTCAACATATTGAATATTGCGTCTCTCGGGGCATTGAGGGCGCCATTGCACACTGATGTGCCCATAGTTTTGCACGTTCCAAATACAGTGATTCTGCCTGTCTTTCTTTCCAATTTTCGACAATATTAAAAAATAAACTACTGTACATCATGCCATAATATGACGTGCCGCTACAAAAAGTAAGATCAGACTAATATAAAACATATAATATAAACCGGCAATACGACAAGCAAGTAGGTACTAAAAACAAAAAAAACAATGCAATTAGTCGCTAGGGGCGCTATTTTCAAGCACGACTGTATGCACGTATCATCATTACACGAGTGTATTCATGTCTCACAGCGAATGCTCGACCTTAACCTTTCAGTGGTCACTCATAGATATGATTTTAAACTACAACTAGAGTTTGTATTAATACGAATGTAATTCTCTCTAAAAGAATATATAGACATTTGCCACGGTATACGATACTTGTAATCCGAAATTCTTTAAAAATGTGATACAGAATATTAAGTGTTAGATTTGTTATGGGAATTTTAGTGAAAAACCAGTAAGTTTTGAAATGGCCGCCTAACGCATCTACAGCGATTACTCAGCTGGTTAAACTGCCATTTTTGTGAGCATTAGTTTGATATTCGCCTTAATTTGTTAAAGCAGTTAAAGACCGATATAGTATATAAACAGGCGCGGGCGGAAACTACAGTATTATTCAAATGAAGACATCCTCTCCCGTAACAACAACTAAAATCTGTACAAAGGCGACTAAAAGCTCCACATGAATACGAGAAACAGCGATTCATTACAATATATTTTCTATTTTTCAAAAGTTAATGGCGCAATGAATGTTCTGAGAAAGCATAAATAAAAATAGGTGTTAATTTGACAGCACGACCATTTACTTTTGCCGAGAAAATGCATTTCAAAACTGTTGAGATAATAGCAGTGTTTACTGTTTGATTTTAACAATTATATAAACTACTCTTATTTTTTTTAAATAGTGGATATAATTGCAATGTAATTGTTTTGTAATGTAAGACCTGTGCCTGGGAACATGCCTCTTTCATTATTTATGCGGATGAGTACAATATAATGTCACGTGGCCCATGGCTGTGTGAACTTTTAACAATAACCAGATTTTGCTACATAGCCAAATTATAAACACAGTCAGATTCTGTGATGGAATCAGATTCTGCTACATAGTTTTCATGACAAATCGGAATATGTGACACAGTCGGATTCATTGATAGAATCAGAATCTGCTACATACTTTTCATGACAAATCAGATTATGTGACACAAACGGATTCAGTGATAGAATCAGATTCTACTACATACTTTTCATGACAAATCGGAATATGTGACACAGTCGGATTCATTGATAGAATCAAATTCTGCTACATACTTTTCATGACAAATCGGAATATGTGACACAGTCGGATTCAGTGATGGAATCAGATTCTGCTACATACTTTTCATGACAAATTGGAATATGTGACACAGTCGGATTCATTGATAGAATCAGAATCTGCTACATACTTTTCATGACAAATCGAAATATGTGACAGTCGGATTCAGTGATGGAATCAGATTCTGCTACATACTTTTCATGACAAATCGGAATATGTGACAGTCGGATTCAGTGATGGAATCAGATTCTGCTACATACTTTTCATGACAAATTGAAATATGTGACACAGTCGGATTTATTGATAGAATCAAAATCTGCTACACAGATTTCATGACAAATCAGATTATGTGACACAATCGGATTCAGTGATAGAATCAGAATCTGCTACACATATTTCATGACAAATCAGATTATGTGACACAAACGGATTCAGTGATAGAATCAGATTCTGCTACATAGTTTTCATGACAAATCAGATTCTAGGGTATAACCATATTTTGCTACATGGATTATGTGACACAGTCTAATTCTCGGATATAATCAGATAGATTATATGACACAATATAATCATGTGATTTAATCAGATTCTGCTACATAGATAATACGCGACAAATAAAATTCTGCTACATAGAATATGCGGCACAATCAGAGTATGTATTAGAAGATATGTGCTAAAATCAGGTTTTGTAATATTATAACGAGTTATTGTATTATGAGCCACTGTACGTAACTGTTTTGTTGGTGGTTAATATATTATGAGATACACATTTACTCGCAAATCACGGTTACACAGTAGACTGTATTATAAATTATTGATATTCGGCTTTTCCCGAACTTTATCCAAGAGTATGAGTAGACATCTAATTTAAGATAAATATAAAGGTACAACATCGCATCTCAGTGTATTCATTAAGTATTTTGATGAACGGCTTGGTGGGCATTGGGCACAACGATTTCAATGATGCGTCGTGGTCAAATAAACAGAATGCAAGAATGTTCAGGTTGAAAACAGCATTTTAGTAAAAATGTCATGGCTGATAACCAGTGACGGAGACAAGATAACAACGGTATTGCTTACGTTGGTTTGCACGTTTCCATAAACGCGTAGCTATGTCTGGTGAAAACACACGTTACTATTGCTTATTCAAATCCCCCAATCTGTTTTGTTTGAAGATAAAAATAAATATCATATTTCCCCCATACTGAGGTTGGTGTCAAGCGAAAACAATTATTCGACGTTAGATAGAGGTGCCGACTAGACGTAAGTCCTAGACACTGCAGGTGAATTGTGAATACCACTATTTAGAGCACACAGACATGGTGTCCAGGGATTTTCAGCATCGCTTGAAGAAATCACGTCAGGATGCGACAGCGAGAGAGAGACGGCGCGTTGCAAAACTGAATGGGGCTTTTCTGGAATTACAGAAGATATTGCCAGCTAAACTTTTCAGAAACAAGACTCCCAGTAAATTGGATGTTTTGCGAGCAGCTAGCACTACCATCCGAACATTGGGAAACTGTCTCGCTGAGAAGTCATCGACGTCACCAAGTGCCATACCAAGTCTACCAACACCAATGAACATGGGATTATGTGGACCAACACCAAACATGCAATCAGTCTGGCATCGGGCATTCCCAATCACTGTTAAGCAAGGATTTAATTCACACCCAGTAACCCACATTATCTACAACGCATTCGATTCGGATTTCTCTGACAGGTAGGTATATGTACTGACTACAAAAATCAAACTGATGGCATTTTAAAAATAAATTGAGAAGAAGCATATACTATTTATGTTGAACGCAGGCAAGTTTGATTTCACAGAGGCCAATTATTTGGGGAATTATAATGTAAAGTAGAAGGCTTGACTATCCGCCCGATATGATAGAATCGACTTGTATATGTCACATTTCGTAAACATGTTATATATTATAATATTTGTGTTTTAACATTAATATTGTTATTGCTTTATATTTACTTGCCGAATAATCGTGTTTGTCAGGTCTATAATTGAGTTTTTGCCTGTTGGTCGAAATAAAAAAAATCTATGTGAACAGGTGATGGTATTCGCAAGTTAACTACCACCGGGTGTAGCTAGGAAATATCCAGACAACTCATCATTTGGCAGAGACTGTTAATGTGCAAATGCACCAATGCATATTCATCATCTACCCTGTCCTAAAATAAAAACTGTTCGAGCGAGATGCATTTGTCAACACCGCAATTGCCAGACATTAGCCAGATGTAGATATCTCCTGAAATGTATCGCCGTCGAAAGTCAATCAAACCAACGATATGTGAAAAGGTAGCAATTTGAAACCGTTCATCGCGAATCGTAACTCGAATAATCACTCAGCTACGTGTATATACCAATCACAGCGTGATTATACGTATCTACATGAAATAAATAATTGCGACCCCTGTGGTTCCACAGCAACAGTGCACTGTTCACAGGAGAAATAGTTACCAGACCTCAACTTCCTGTATGCTGAATATCACACGTCCACGTATCACATACCTGGTAATGGTGTGTGATACGTGTCTGAGCAAAATATCAGACATTTCTGAGCATTTTTTGATCAAATTTATTACATAGGTGTTTTGGGGGTAATACGCAGACATGATTATTTCAGGGCCATGTCGATGCATACTAAGTAGCGAATTTGCATATTAATTATCTCATTTCAGGCCATGTTAGCCTGACATGGAGGCATGATTGGCACCTTCGCCGGCATCAGACCCCACAAACCTGACATGTAGGCGTGAGTCGCGCCTTCACCGGACGAACGGCATCAATCCCCACTAACGCCGTGTGTTGGGTTTAGAGCACCGCGGAGGGCGCAACTCACGCGACATTGTCAGGCTAAGCCTATGTAAGCAAAAGCTCAAAAACCACCTAGCGGATTTGGGGCAAATTTAATACATTGTTGCCGTGGGGGTAACGTGCTGACATGAATGGTTTGGGGGCGATTATTAAGTAAATTATGTGCATATTGTCTCAATTTAGCCTGTGTAAGCAAAATCTCAATTTTTTTCATAAAACATTGATTTCTTATATTTTGTATTCACATAGGAGCTTTGCAGAGTTTAACGTTGATTGAAAAGTTCGGTGACTTGTTTGTTTTATTTATTAAATATATGTTGTTCTTAGCACACCCTTTTCATACATTAACAAAGTTGTATATATTGGAAAACAGTCGTTGAGTAAAATAATAACACATTGCTCTCCAGCATGAGGTCGGACCTTTTTTTATTTTTTGTAATAAATAACATACAATAGAAAATTCTTTGCGTATGCAAACAATGGAAAATTCTCTCAATGTTTTTGTGTCACATTATGCCAATGCAAGCTGACTAATCCTGTTTTTTTAAGCAATCAGATACGGTTGGATTGGTTTACGCATTGTGAAAGATAAAAGTCAACAATTTTCAACGACTTAATAAATGCATTTGTAATTAGACATGTTATCACGTAATTTGCGCTCACGGTGGTCACGTGTCAGATTTATAGCATTGACGTGCCAAAGTTTGCCATTAATATATGGTGGTATCACTGAGAAGGTTATATCGGAAGTATGGGATGTCCTAACGTTCATTTTCCCAGGGAACGTTTACACAACTGCGCATGTCCACCCTTCCAGGTCGATTGGGAGTACCATGGACCCAGGTGATTATGTGTAGCTCTTACAGGCTTTCATTCACAGAACCAGTAGTTTGAACCGAAGAAGTCCACGCTTTTCTATCAAAACAGTGCTTGAAATTCGCGACGTCAAAATGACGTATAAGGGTTAAAGCATTATCGTTCAAACAGACAACTCTGTTTGGCTACGTAGTCGTTCATGACTTATAATATAACAAATCGACCACGGACAGTAGCAGCGGCACAGGGGGAGGGGTCGCCCCTCCAAAATCAAGCTGAAACCAATTGTATCAGCAAAATTCTTGTCGCTAGAGGGCGCGACACATAGGAACATGAGTATTGAACAGTTAGTTGTTCTGTTCTGTTTCAGCAAGAATGCAAATGCACTACGATCGTCGGGAGACTTCACGGCTGACTATTTGGATGAATTCTCCGAAGACGACGTGTCTGGGTATGGTAAGTGAGATATATCTTGGCTCTATGTTGCGAGAGAAGTGGTGGTTCTAAGATTTTGAACTGTTAAACGAATTCTCGTATACATGTACATATATTTTCATATTGAGATTTATACCATTTTTATTTTTTTGGGTGCATAGTGCCACCGCTAAAGGAAGATGTAGCGAATCTGCCAAAAGCCAACGTGTACTGGAAATAAACGACGACGCTGCACGGCCGACGGAGAAAACAAATACAACAATGGAATAATAATATATTATCACCAAGACGAGGCATTTAACTTTGCTGATTATGAACACGTTAGTATTTCCTTAATATGTAGAGATGTTTTCAGATATTTGAGCGCCTGTCTGCACACGTTCAGCGTGTGCAATATGGTACTGGCTTACTATTTCTCAATATTTTGCATTGATAACAACTTGAAAGCAAAGGACTTGGATTACACATTTATTGTGATTTTCGGCTGTAATCTGTGAAAACAAATCCTTACCAAATATAATGAAAATGAATCGCTACCGCGATGCAGTGATTGTTTCTTGTTATACCACAGGGAGCCCAGGAACTATGATCAACTGTACGCACTCCCTATGAGCGCGGGGGGGGGGGTTATCGGCTGGTATCTAGTGTAAGAATTAGACAAGGGATGAAGGCTCCAGCCAGCTAACATTTTTTAAACTCGATAAAACAGACAAAAAGAATGAAAAATAAAATCTAAAAAAAATACCAGGTTGAAGAATATTAGCTGCTCCTTCAAATTTCGCCAAAGCCTTACCTACATTTTACCGATATATGCAGAATAAATCAAGAAAACTACACAAATTTACTCCATTTAGGAATTCCTAATGGTTAGTCCGAACGCACGACACAAAGTTGGAGGCGTGGCCTGTTCATCATTTGTCAACAACCAATCACAAGA